GGAAAAAAATTGCCTCTAAAAAGGCTGCTTGTCCGGCAGACAAGCTACGGACAGATCTACTTGTCCTCCGTGAAAATGGACAAGTACGGACAAACGGATAGCCCTTAATTCGAACACTGCGGATGGTATCAGGAACCTTCTCGAAGAAATGTTCGTTGGATCGTTATGAAAGTTGCCACGAGATGGCGCGATACGTTTGAGTCAGTGTCTTAGATTAAAGATGGAAGCTCCCATCGTACGTAGTATAGCAACTACTATTTGCAAGACAGAATAGGTAAGCACTCATCCATTTACCTACGCAAGGCTACAGGTCTGAAATAGAGAGCTGCCACTGTAACTAATTAACGCAGCAAAAACTACACCAGTACTATCACCACCACATGCACTGGCAGTGCATAAGTTACATGTAACACGCCTGACAGTACAGAATGCCATAGAAATTATACGATTTAAGGAGCATAAACGTTCTTTCAACCAATTTAGCTTTTGAATTTCACTGTGACATTGTAGCCTTCATACATCCAGGCATGGATAGATTCTACTAGCCTACCCGGCCCAGTCAATTCTTTCTAACAGTAAACAAATCCATGTTTAACCCTCCTCTTGACGGTCAAAAGGTATCCGACACTTACTCTTCGCATGTCAGCAGAAAGTACATTTCATGGTCCTTTCAATAAAGCCTAAAAATGCTAGGTCACCACTGAAACAAAAAAGTTTTCCAACGCTCCATCAGACCATGTCCTCAGAAATCGTTTCTAAATCTCCTGTGCCCCATTGACCTTGACCTGTGACCTTAATTTCGCACAGTGATGGCTTTTCCTACCATGATGCTATACATTCTGCATTTCCTCCTTATACGTTAAGTTAAGGAGGGAATGTTCTCTTCCCTTCTTTTACACCTCTTGACCTTTGACCCCCAGCTTCGACATCCCAACTCGTTTTGACGATCCCCCCCCGACGTCCCGAATATCGTGACCGTACGTCAAGCGGTTAAGATTTGTGCCCAACTGTTGACGCACGGCCGGACGGACGCACGGACGGACGGACGCACGCTCATGCGATTCTACAATTCTTATCTGACTATGTCAGATGAGCTAAAAACAAGTAAACGAGGCATTACAGGAACAAAAAATAGATGCCTGTTTTACATGACAATAAGAAACAAGGCTCATTGCACGTATTTATTTAGGTAATGTGTTATCAGAATACCAATATAACTAATAGTGGATATAGGAACGTGGTCCACATCAAGTAAACATAAAACGAATTAACCTCATCACTACCTTTGAGGGCACAACTCTCTCCTTTACTGCTCTATCACAACCAGTCGTAATTTCTGCATCACACTCTCCTAAGTCCAACTCATTATCATCAGACTCCAGATCCGAGTAGTTTTCCTCCTCAGCATCGGAGCCTGTGCTCTGCAACAATCCGAAACAAATATATAGTCAAAACCTGATAACTGCATTTCATCCTAAATAAATCCAATGTACAATTTTATTTAAACTAAACTTACCAAACTTCTGTTCTATCACATGCTGTACTATATAGCACTTGCTTATATTATCCATGCATATGCGATGTAGTCATGAATCAGCAACACTATTATGTGTACTAGCCCAGTACTGTTCATTACAGCTGATGAATTTCTGCAGGTGAGAATACCACCCAGAGTATAAACATGTCACATACTTTTTAGTAGTTATACACTTTCCATGAGCCAGCATTCTTCATTGACACTATATATGGTGCAGAATAGCAAGGGATACTGAGAAACGTTTGTATATGCTGAGTACTAATATATTTCAGTATTTAGAGTATGATGTTACCCTGTACAGAGGAAGGTTCCTGCACACGTCAGGTAACCCTCCCCCTACGAAAATTCACATTACAACAAGAGCCGCAGAGCGTCTGGGCTCATCTGAGGTCTGTTGCTACGATTATAAACGTAAAATATCAGTCGTGCGTAGTACCACATTTGTTAGGTAGTCTAAAATCTGCCCTGTGCCCCATTGACCTTTGACCTGTGACCTCCAATTTCGGCACAGTGATGGATTTTCCTACCATGATGCTATACACCGACTATCACGAGCCTAGGTCGAGCCGTTTAGATTTGTGCCGCAATTCTGCATTTCCTCCCTATACCTTAAGCTTAGAGGAGGGAATGTCTCCCCCTTCTTTTATACTCTGACCTTTGACCTTTGTGACCCCCAGGCTTCGACCATCCCAACTCGTTTTCGGATTATCCCCCCCCACGTCCCGAATATCGTGACCGTACGTCGAGCCGTTTTTAGATTTGTGCCCAACTGTTGACGGACGGACGGACGCTCGCACGGACGGACGGACGGACGGACGGACGGACGGACGATCATGCGATTCTACAAGCTGCATCTGACTATGTCAGATGAGCTAAAAACTCAGCAATCACACTGCTCACTCATGGTCCATACAGATAATTCAAGACAAAATTCAAGGAGTTTTCCAGGACATTGTCAAGGACAATTTTTATTTTCCAAGTACTAAAATTCTAGCTGAACTTAATAAAATTCAGTGTTTTCATACTTAGCACAGCTTGAAAAGATACATTACATGGAATAGAGGACATGAAAACTTCTGATTCAGAAAAAAACAGTGATTAACTGTGAAAGGTATTCATTATGATGAGGTTAAGGAGATTAAAAACATGCACATCTTATAAACTTATACATATTTACATTATACATAATTACATATTTATTGCTTTATATTTCTTATTTTATAAATTCCAGTAGTTTTGAGTACTTTTCCAGGGCAATAACAACTTTTCCAGGACAATTCCGGTATAAAACACAATATTTTAAAATTCAAGAAGTTTACAAGGAGTCGTATTAAAATTTAAATGCCAGGACATTTCTATGCCTGTGTGGACCCTGACACTTACCTGCTCATCTTCATCACTTTCCTCATCAACATCATCATCAACCTCATCTTCAGAATCTGCATTGGAATTATCCTGGAAGTGGACACGCTTGCTAGCTTTCTTCTCCTTGTCAGGAGGTGGCAGGCTAAGCAGTTTTCCATCTTTGTATCGCAGAGTAAACTTATCTTCTCGATTTAAAACAAACCTGCAATTTATAGAAATTGTAGGAGTGCATGAATTAGATCGACAAGTGTGTGCTATATATCAATTATCAATTATCAGTATCTATATATCAATTACATCATATTGACTATCAACTACAAACATCCACTACTACTATCATCACACTTTTAAATACACAAGGGCAATAGCAGTATAGCACCAATCTAACATGGCTGGTGCTGGTGATCCCATGATCAATACCTATACTCTTAACTATTTCTGATACTTACATATATAAAATGCATATTTCTGTTCCTCAATAAATATCATGAAAGGTTACTGCTAATAATCATCAGTCAATAAATAAAGGTGGAAATTCATTTTTGATCAGAGGAGGCAAACAGACACCCGATGTTCAAACAGAGGCAGCCGGCACCAGTGTGCGAGGGTACGCAGCCTGATGTTTAAAATGAAAGATAATGATGATGTACAACATAAGATGATGAAATTATAGAAAGAAGTACTATATTCAGTACTCTAGCTACCCATCACTGAGGTCATCAGCAGACTGGTGGCTGCCCTTGGCATTCTGCTGTGTGTTCTCTAATGTCACGCCTTTCATCCTGGATATTCTCTCAGTCTCCAACTGCTCTAGGGTTGCCTTCTCTTCGCGGGCAACCTCCTCAGGAGTCTTAATCCTATCTGTTGGCTAAATAGAAATAGAAGTTCTAAGGGATTTCTTAACAGCTGTAGGCAGCAAGTAGGCTGGTGCATGCCTACTTTAAATCTTGTTCTGTAATGCAAACCTCACTATTTTATAAGATTATGCACAGAAATGATATGCCATCGAATCAACTAGAACCATGTAGTACAAACACGTTTGACACAGCAAGATATCGGTAACAAATAAACCAAAAAAATATACCAACTGCAAATAGAACATACTTTGCCTTTAAGTTCAAATTGTAGTTCTCGTACAACCCTGTCAAACTCATCCACTGGTTGCTTTGCAGAGCTACTAGGGTTCAGCTTATTCTTCTGTAAATTCGAAACATTAAATCAACAATATGACTAAACTGTCAAGGTCACTTCGAGGTCAACAGACATATCAACACCATGCTGATGTGATGCTGTCAATGTCAAACATGTTAAAGATAGAATATAGCTATTTAATCTGCACTGTTGACAAATGCTAGAATAACTGATACCTTAATTGTATGATTTAGAAGTGCACAAATACATCTACACACACTAGCCACAGAGTTCTCCACAGTAATTTCAGAAGGCATGTGGGGCAGTTGGGCCATTCATCCCCAATGGCTAATCGGAGTCTATCACAAGTGCGATAAGCCTGCCCCAGTGCACAGATAAACTCGCTTAATTCAGAGACATATACATCGAGCTGCGAAACACAGAGTATGAACGAGTTGAGATTTTTAAAAGTAAACACAGCTGGAAATTAAGGCATGTCGGTTAGGCAACCGGGTTTCAAGTTTATATTAGTTGTACAATTTCACCACATGCAACCTTGCAAAGCAGACTTTCTAAAATATAAATCTTACAGCCGCTAACACAGTAACAGTAATTACATAAAATTTAGTCTGAGGTTACACTCTGTGCCACGGGGGAATAACAGTAAGCGTTTGGCAAAGAACTGTTTAAATGGAAGTGCCGAGCCCAAAATGTGTAACAATCAGCTTGCGTCTGAAAATGCAGTGGAGAAACCCATTATACCGACTTTGGCGGTTGCGATTCGAATTGTTAACCACTCCTGATAAATGCAAATAATTCTCAATTAAGCCTTTATTAGTAACCAGCAAGAAAATTGGACAAAAGTAATATGATCAAGAGGGCTATCTTCGCTGCAAGAGCGAACACTGTATTTGGCAATACGGGCAGCCGATAAGATTTTGGTGGAATCACACTAACAATACACTCTCACCGTATTGCTCTCCGAACAACGTCGCTTTTTCTATCAGTAATCAATAACCCCGTAATTAGCCTTGTTACGTGACCAGACAAACACGTTGTAACGCGCCCGTGTGCACAGGCTCACCCCCCCCCCCTGCTAGTAGCAGGCGATGGTTATAGACCGATAGGGCAGCACTGTCCAGTCACACTGTCCAGGCTGAAATATGCAACAATGCACAGGCATTGTTTCAGTTATCATTTATTATAATGCACAATACATTTCCTTTAATTTTAATGCTGCCTCCTGCAAAATTACAGACCGGTAGTTCGTCTAGTTAAGGAGGATGTGCATAGCAAAGATAGTCGTGGAAAAAATAGAATAATAATAAGAATTCGTGGAATAACAGTGTATTTGGCATTGGCAATGTACCAACATTGCCAAATACAATTTGGCGCTGAGGTTTTATGCTTATAAATGACACAATGTGTCAGTTATTCTGGAGTTGTTTACGATAGTATATATTCTACCTTTGATCTTTGGTGTTAGAAAAACACAATTACCACACACATTGAATAATTCTATAACTGAAATAACAGTGCTTATAATCACATAAAATGGCACCACAACAACCTGTCATCATCTGAAACACTAGCTACACAATTATACATTCATAGCCATGCTCATTATTACATTAGTGAGGAATATCCACTTTGTGATAAATCTCTGATAACCTGATGAATATCCAGATTTACATGTAATAATTTAACCCATCATGTGTAAACCCACCAGTGGCTATAAAAATAACACATCAAGGTACCTTGGAAGTAGACAGCAGGCTAGCTATGTCATTCCACTGTTTATCAAGCTTTTCAGTCAATTCTACTGCAGATTCCTTCTCTGTTTGCTGCTCATACTGAAACAAATAAAATGTAACAAATAATATAGTTAAAATGCTCTGATACTCTGTTTTACAATGAATCAGACTACTTCTTGAAAAACGAAACGTAAATAAATCCAAACAATGCAGTAAAAAGTGCATAACTAATATAGTAACAACTTGGCAGTTATAAATACAAGTGATATATTTAGACTAGTTTTATTTTAAACTGCAAAATTATTATAAAATACAATTCGTTACCTCTACAAATAATCTTTCCATAAAACAATAGACTCACCTTTCTTTTCTTAGACATTGCTATAACCTCTTCTAGCATTTCCTTCTTCGTCATTTGTTTCTTTGTACCATCAGCATTTTTGTCAAGGTCTCCACCACCAAAATGTGCCTCAGCGGTGAACTTTCCTATGATAGGCACATAACATATCCCCTACACTATATTGTGCTTAATAGATGTATATATATTATCAAGAGCTAATAATACCTAGAGTGTACAACGGAAAAACGGGAAAATAGTG